CCAGCCCACAGTGCCCCACTCCTCACAAGCATGGTGTATGAAAACGTTGATTGGTGTTCAGTGATTATCATCATCTTTATGCGGTACTATCTGCAACCACACCAACAGGCAACTGCAAAAGACTTTCTCTTATTGCCTTTGGAGCACTTGTCTTTTTGTTCATTTAGTTTCCCATCTACTTATTGTTCAATCCTAACTCTGCCAGTTTTTGCAGTCTCAAGTGGTCAGGATCAGGTATCATGGAAACCACTAGCACCTCAATGAATACCCCTTGCCTTCTGCAGACATCTTGAGGTTACTCCTGGCTCTCTGCAGGGCAGGAAGGTTTTTCTGCTTCTTTGGAGGGCTGTGACAAATTACCACACCACAGACCATGTGGCTCACAGACAATAGTTTATTTGGCACAGTTCTGCAGGCTGGTAAATCCAAGGTCAAGATGCCAATAGATCTGGTGTCTGTGAGGATGACTGTTTTCTCACTGCAACTTCACATGGTGGAAAGGGAAAGGTTCTCTGCAGGCACATTTATTTTTTTTTTGTACCTGGGATTGAACTCAGGCACAGTGCAAGGCAGGCACAGTGCCACTGAGCTAAATCCCTGACCCTGGAGGCTATTTTTAAGGATACTAACACCCTTCATGAGGGCTTCATTCTCAAGATTTAATTATGGCCCAAAAATTCCACCTCTAAATATCATAACATTGGACATTAAGATTTCAGTGAACGAATCTGGGGACACACAAATATTCAGTCTATAGCAGATGGTCCACGTGATCAGTGCAGCCAGAAGGGATGTGTGTTACTTCTGGATGGAGCATTTAATTGCCAATTCAAGAGTTTCCAGAAAGTCTTTCCCCGCTCTGTCATGATGACTATCAGCTCAAGAGTGTTTATTGATCTGGGTATCAGGGAGGGCAATGATGATACAGAGTCCCTAATTCCTGATGTACTGAGATTAAACTTTTAGAATTTTACTAAACTGAGTTTCTGGAACTATTTGTTACTGCAGCTTATTCTGACTGATGCAGAAAATGGTAACCCAGAGTGGGCTGCTCCTGCAACAGAGAAGACTAGTGGGACTGGCTTCAAGGCTGGTCACATGTGTAGAGAGATGGTTGATCTTGGAAGTGTGGCCACTCACATATGAAATGGCATCAGATTCAGAAAACTGTCACTTGAGACTACTTACAAGTTTCAGAGAGAAGAGACCAAAGGTGTTACTCTACCAGGACAGACGAGGCTTGGCGGCTGAGTGAAGTCAAACAGACCAAGTAAGAGGTAGCCCACAATGCTGATATGCTAGTGATGCCAAAGAAGTCTCGGACCAGGACTAATGCAGTTTGTGATGAGAATTTAAAGTACTCTTTGATTTCTAATCTTAATCTTCTATATACAGGAAGTGCATTGACAGAAGTGCTCAGCCCCTAAGAGGGCACACTACCTGGTTTCTACTTTCTGTGCAGCTGAGAAAGGTAACAGCAAAGGAAAAAACAAACAAACAAACAAAAAAACACCTGAGGGTGAGGCCAGTGCAGTGGCTGTGTCTGCCCAGCAAGTGGGCTTAGACTATTCAAAAAACATTCTCCCTTGGGGCGGAGGTTTGGCTCAGCCTCTCAAGCAAACGCAAGGTCCAGAGTTCCGATCCCCCATACCACAAACAAACACAAACAAACATTTTCCCTCAAGGGCAGGGCATTATCTACCAAAAAAACACCTGAGGGTGAGGCCAGTGCAGTGGCTGTGTCTGCCCAGCAAGTGGGCTTAGACTATTCAAAAAACATTCTCCCTTGGGGCGGAGGTTTGGCTCAGCCTCTCAAGCAAACGCAAGGTCCAGAGTTCCGATCCCCCATACCACAAACAAACACAAACAAACATTTTCCCTCAAGGGCAGGGCATTATCTACCCAGCACAATTTCAGGATTGCTGTGGATTCTGTCTGTTGCAAATCTCCCTCCTCTTTCCTATCTAAATTGGGCTCTTTTTGGGGTAATTATGTCTCTTGCACCACAGGGCATTTATGTGTCTTTACAGAGAGCATACTAGTTCATTTTTTGTTGTTGTTGTTGTTGCTATCACAAAATACCTGAGGCTGGGTACTATATAAAGAAAAGAGGTTTACTTGAAGGCTGGAGCAGGAAGGTCACAAGTTTGACTATACTCTGGGCAATATGTAACTAAGCAATTCCAAGTTTCAAACAACAAAAGAAGTTTAAAAAGGCCTGGGGGGCTGGGGATTTAGCTCAGTGGTGCCCCAAAGTCATGAGTTCAAGCCCTGGTAGAGAGAAAAAAAAGGCCTGGGGATATAGCTCAGTGTGAAAACTCTGGGTTTGATCCCCAGTATAGATGGAGAGGGGGAAAGAAGGAAAGAAAAGAAATGAAAGAAGAGGTTTATTTAGCTCACAGTGTTGAAAGTGCAGAGTTAACAGCCTCTCACTTTGGCTGCTGGTGAGGATCTCTCAGCCGTACAACAGCATAGCTGGTGGCATCTGGGTAGCAGCACATACACAAGGGATTGAATACCAAGACAGGAAGCCAGAGCGACTTGGGTCAAATTTGTTCTTTCTGAAAACAACCCATTATCATGGGAGCCAACTTACTTCAAGGGACCAGCATTAATCTCTTCTGAGGTCAGTACTCCCAATGCCCCATCCACTTCCCACTAGGCCCACGTTTTAATGGTCACCACCACTCCGTACTACCACTACCACATGGAGATCCAGTCTGTGGCATGTGAACCCTGGGGGCTAAGCCATACCCAAGTTACAGCCAGGGGTGGTGAGGCAGGCAACTTCCCTCTAGGTTACAGGTCTCTAGACAAAGAGGAATCACTTGAGCTTCATGAAGAAGCCAGTGAGCCTCCCACAGACTGGATACCACACCATGCCCCTCACCTTGCATTCCTGTTGTCCTAAGCCTGGTCTCTAAGTGCAGGTGAAAAAGGCACAAGAAGTTGGGCCAGGCCAACCCAGGGAGGGTGGAGAAGAGTATCACCTTCTGGGATGCTTTTCTGTTCTGCCACAGCAACCAGCATGCTCCATACACAAGCTGCTCCGCTGACCTGGTGTCCCTAGGAACCTCGCCACGGTCACAGAACTTGGCCAGAGGTTAGCCTGTTGCAGGGACTCTCTCCCTTTAGCCTCCTGAAGAGGGGTCTTCGTGACTGACCTGCTTCAGCCTTGGTTGCTGACCTCTACACCTGGCCAGCAGCTCCCACCTGGGACCTCCTCTCTCCATCCTGCTTCCTGGTCACATGCCCCCCCCGCCCCTCTTGTTTTACATTTGGGCAAAGCATAATTTCTGTTACCTTCTTATCATGAGAAAGGAGGCATGGGAGAGAAATTTGAGATCTCGTGCATCTAAAAATACAGTCACACTGTGTAATGATGCTAGAGATGACAGACTGAATATACAATAATCCCAGGAGACTATAATGGAGCGGAAAAATTCCCACCACCTGCACAGTGGTAGCCACTCCAACATCACAGCACACTGCTTCACCGACGTTTGTGGTGACGCTGGCATTAACCAACCTGCTGTCACTAGTCTTACAAAAGTCTAGCCATACAACTACGCATGGCACACGATACCTGACAGTGGTAATAAATGTCGGCACTACTGGCAGATGCACATGCTATGCTTCTTATCATTGTTTCAAAGTATACTCCCCCAATAAAAAATCGTTATAAAAGTGTCTTGGCTTTGTTACAAAATACCTGAGATAATTCAAAAACAGGAGAGCTTTATTTTGGCTCATGATTCTGCAGGTTTCAGACCAAGACTGATCGGACCTGTTGCTTCTATGCTGCGCCAGTGGAGCACATCAGAGACACACAGAGGGGATGGGAAGCAGAAGGAAGTGAAGAGGCCCAGTGTCCCCTCAATGGCACTCCTGTAATGAACTACGACCTCTCACAAGGCCCTTTAAGGTCTATATGGCTCCACCTCCAAGAGTACCTGGGCAGGGGACCGATATAGAACACACGGGCTCTGGGGACACTTGTCCAACCACAGCACACAGTAGGCTCAGGACAAAGGCAGCAACTTGTGCCTCTTCATTGCTCAAGAGGCCACGTGGCCTAGCTGACCCACGCTATGCGGTTCAGACGACAGGACTTTCTCATGGCATTTCTCAGGAAATAGCCTTGCTGGGAAGGGATGGTAACTACATTTGGTCTATAGTTTGTCTGGGTGAAGGGGGAAAGAGAATTTTATTTTACATCTCCCAAGGGTGTTTTCTTTGTTTTTTTTTTTTGACAGGGTCTCACCACGTAGTTGAGACTGACCTGGAACTATGTAGCTCAGGCTGGTCTCGAACTCACAGCGATCCTCCTGACTCAGCCTCCCAAGTGCTGGGATTACAGGAGTGCACCACCACACCTGGCTCAAGGGTGTTTTCTTGCCTTCTAACTTCTACTTGCTGCTGCAGAGAAGCCCACAGCCATTCTGACTCCAGTTAGTGTGTGGCCTGCTTCTAATGTCAGGGCATTTTTGTCCTTGATATTCTGAAACTCACTGGCGATATACCTTGTAGTGGACTCTTTGGGCCTCTTTGGTTATGAAGGCTTTTCTTGAATTATTGACAATTTTCTCAGACCACCCCGTGGAGTTCCTACTATTTATTTGATCAATAAACTTTCTTGCTGGCTTTTTCCCCCTATTTCCATTTTTTGTTGTGGGTTTATTCTATTTTCATAGAGGTTTCCTCAACTTCCCCTCCCAATCTCCTGAAGGTTTTGTCTTTTATACTTCTGCTACCTTCTTTTAAATCCTCAGGAGCACCTTTTCCCTCTGAATGTTTCTTTTCAAAAATTTGAAAGTTTTTATCAGTACGTTTGTGGTGCGTGATTTCACTCCTCGTGGGGAGTCGGTACATGGGCACATCTTAATTCTTTTCACTTCCACGTCCCTTCCTCTCCGTCTCTTGGTCTCCTTCCCAGTTGCAAAAAGATCTCCCTGTTTCCTATTATCTATCTTTTATTTTGCGCTCTAAATTATTTATACTTTGGGGTTCTCATATAAGAGAAACCATATAGTATTCAGGCTTGCGTTTTATTTCATGTTTCTTGATACATGTTCTCCCTTCATGTGTTGGGACATCTTTTTCAAATTTCCCTATTGGGAACTTTGTTGATGTTTTACTTCTCTTTGCTTCGTTTATTTCCTCTAACTTGCTCTTCAAAAATCTGTTGTGGGGGGCCAGGGGTTTAGCTCAGTGGTTCTGTCGCCTGCCTTGCAAGCACAAGGACCAAGTTCGATCCCCCGTATCAAAAAAAAGAAGAAAAAAAAAATCTGCTATGGCTGTGCATCTCATGACACAGGTTTCCTGAGATGTGACATCAGCCATGGCTGCCTGCTTGTATTCACCGGGAAGGACTGATTTGAAGTCCTGTGTAGCAACAGCAGCTTGCACTGTGGCCTCACCTAAAGGATGCTGGCTGCTACTTGTCCATGTGCAGATTGCAGAACATTTAGGTGTTCCTCCAGGCTGGCCTGGTCCTTTCAGATTCTCCTGGTCCCCTGGCTCCCTGCATCTAGAATAGGGCTTGTGACTCTCAGCATCCAGTATCCATGTGTGTTTATTCTTCCTCTCGCATGGTACCTCTGTTGTACATGTGCGTCTCCTTTTTCTTTTCTTCAAATAATAAACAATCTTGTCAGGATGGGAAGGGGCACTTGTCCTTTGTGAGACTGGGGAGGGGATCCGGAATCTGAGCCTCCTAAACAGTCTTTTGGCCTTTATGCTCACATCCAGTGGTACCCAGTGCCACCCACTCATGAACTTTCCTTCCTGGCCATCATCTCAGTGTTTCCTTTTCTTGGGTCTGCTAAGTATTTTAGCTTCAAAAATTGTGTTGCTGGGCCAGGGATTTAGCTCAATGGTGTCGCTTCTGCCTTGCAAGTAGTTCAATCCTGAGTTCCATTCCTGGTTTAAAAAAAAAAAAAAAAAAAAAAAGTGTCGCTGTTACTTTTTCTCTTGCAGTCCTTGCCCACGTAGACTTCTGCTTTACAACAAATGTTTCAGAGACTCCCAAACACATTAACTTCCACACATACCATTCATCCACCACCTTCACCCAGAACCCTCAACCCCCTTACAGCCTTTAGTCTCTTCACTGCCTGGAACTCTTGGGCCACTTGCTCATCTTATCTTCCCAACTCTGTTTGTCTTCTGTTTTTTTCCATCTGAAATGAGATACCCCACTCTCATAAATACACAAGCGGTCTCTTTCAAAATCCTACCAAGCGAAGAAAACATGGACTCACAGTTACGGCGAGATACACTGGGGTATAGCGTTGAATCTATTTTACACATGGGTGTGGGCTAAAGGAGACAAGCCCGAGGCTCCAACAATCATCAAATGATTGATGAGAGTGTCACTGAGAAACTAGGCAGGAGGTGGTTTTGTATTTAGAACCCCGCTAGGCACAGCCAGAACACTCCAAAAGGTCACGCTCACGGGGGACCCACAGACTGGGGGCACGCCAAAGCAGTGGGTTTGTGACTCAGGATACTACCCCTTCCCCTCACTCAAGGCAGCAGCCTTAGCCCAATGATAGGATTCTCCTCGGAGGTCAGCCATTGCGAATGTAGGCTGGAGTCCAGGAGAAGGTGGTGCCTGTAAGCACGTGCAGAATTCTGCGGGCTGGAGAGGGACCGGAAGAGATGTGAGGTTGGAAAATCAGCCTAGGACCTTCCTAATAAAGGAGTGACCTGTGGTGGGGATGGAGGTGCCTTCTGAGCCATGACTCGGTCAGGACACAAGTCTCAGACAACATCAACCCAATTGGAGAAGGACGACTACTTTCTGCCAAACAGAGACCCCGCTATAGGGAAGTGATCCGGGTCAGCGAGCTTTGTCATTCTTCCCAGAGGGCAGCAAGGCCATCAGCAGGAGGGAACTGTAACGGATATCCAAGGCACTCAAACACTAACACAAGGTGACAGTTCGTCATAACATGCCACCCAAATGGCAGTTTCCCCTTTGTTACCTGGAAATTGAAATCCTTCCTACCTAGGCTCCAAATTAATTGAGAATCCAATTCTGTGAAAAAGATAATGTCCCCTAACCTCTCCTTTGGTCCACTGGGTCCTTGGGATTCAGCGCAGTGGCTGACTTGTCCCAAGACCATTAAGCACGGTGACCCTAGTCCTGGTGTGCCCGGTCAGGGGCGGCCAGAGGGTCCGGAAAAGGTGACCGTTATAAAGGGCGTGCCAGGCTCCAATCCAAGGCGGTCGTAAATTAAGCACCGGCTTCTTCCCGAAGGCCTAGGGCTGGAAAATGGGGACGTGGGCCGGGGAAGCCGTGGAGTCAAGGGCAAGTCTCTGGGCCCAGGCAGGGAGGCCGCCGGCGGGGTGCAG